ACCCAATACTCTCAGTCTGTCAATATGTGACTTCATCTCCAAGACGTAAGTACACACAGGCCTTCTATCTTGATGTTTCATTGCAAGTTGGGCTTCAGTGACCTTGAATTTTTCAAGTCTTTGAAGTTGTGGGTTAGGGAGAATTATTACAGGAGGTGGAGGAAATGAAGTATGACTTCCACGATCCAACCGCGAGACATCATCTTCAAGAGGAAAGCTTGTTCCAAAAGATTTGGGAAGACTATAGATGTCTGAACTAGACATCTACAATGGGAGAAATTCAACTTAGTTGATTTAAGTCCTTAATATAACACCCAAATGAAATATTAAGGCTATGAGCCAACACAATATTTTACAATTTGGAAGAGGGATGCCATAATCCAATTGCAAAATATTTGAAGGTAGGTAAATGAGGATTTACCAATTTCCATCACGAAAAACGAAAAAGATTTTTAGGTTTTAAGTGAATTTAAATTCCTAGATCCTTTGAGATTCATTGAAAATTTCAATGGCATGTTTAAATCTCGATTGTGCCCTTCAAGTTTGTGACTGGGATGCCGAGGATCACAAACAAGGTGTGAATAACCATGCAAATTAGCTTGGTACACCCAATGTTACAACCACCTAATGAATGTGCATGTCGGTTAACCACACACGCTCCACTGATCTATGATTAACATCAAGCTACCCTTTGCCACACACTGTCAGTCCAGATTAGTCGGTCGGTTAACCACACACGCTCCACTAACGACTTAACAAGGTGCAAAGTGCAATTTCATGGGTTAGCACCATATTCGCATTTTCCTAAGTAAATAAGATTTGGGAATTTATACGTGTTTAGTTACTTTATATTTATCATTATACTTTTAATGAAGGGAGAATTAGAGTCCTATCATATCCGTTCAGCTAACGACCCTCCACCAGTCAAGGAAGCGGTGGGTGAGAGTGGTCACCCATTAAACTGCCATTTTATAGGCAGTAACCTTATACCCCCTTATAGACCGACTTCGTGAATGAGGCCTAGTAACGGTAAGACTGACTTTGTTCTTATACATATATATATAAATATTAAACCTATAATATTATAATAGTATAATGGTAGAATTTTAAACTTTAAAATTCTAGGGTTTGGAACTAAATGTTTCAAAAGGTAGACTTTTAAATTTACAAATTCCAAAACTTGAGAGCAAGTTTTGAACTATTCAAAAAATAAACTTTTGGAATCCATAACTTATGAGTTTAATATAGGTTTTAATGAAAAGACTCTTGAAAATCCATAACTTGAGGACAAGTTATGGAGTTCATACAAAAACATTTATGTAAAAGACTCTTCACTTTCCCAAAACCTATGAGTTTTAATGACCTTTTAAAGAAATACTTTTCATTTTTCCATAACTTGAGGACAAGTTATGGAATTTATCAAAAACATTTAGATCAACTAATGTAACTTACAAAATCAAACAATTTGTCAATGATCTAAATTGAACTCATAAGAACAAGACAATTCATATCAAACAAATTTCATGTAATTAGCCTAACCATATAAACTAATACAAAACATGAAACTTTGAAAATTATCTTTTAAATTGGATAAGCATGATCGTTACCACATCAAAAACAGGTTTATAAGTTCAAAAGAGGTTTAGGGTAATGATCCTAGTCAAATTCCGGCCTTAAAACTTGAAATTCTGCATCCAGGAGCACCAACTCGTCGAGTGCATGAACAGACTCGGCGAGTTGGTCAGTTTATAGGGTGGACTCGGCGAGTCCCCCAGTGGACTCGACAAGTCCACTGTCCAGACAGCAAAAAATCGATTTTTTAAGCTTTGAAATCAAGTAGCATCAAGTATATAAGAAAACAACCCTAGGCTTTGATACCACTGAAGGGTTTTGAGCATTCTAACACTCCTATGGTGTACATGCAACCCTAGATGCTTTGGATCTATATTTTCTCTAATATACATGCAAACTTTTCCTTTTCCAAAACATCATCCTAACTAGCATACAATAGAGTATCTTCACTACAAAAGTTCTAGTTAGATGACATACCTTTTGTTGTAGTTGGAAACCTTGGACCTTTAAGAACTTAGTGCCCCAAGTGTTGGACCTCAAATGGAATCACACAACACCACCAACAATGGAGGAACTTGAGAGGAGTTTACTTGCACTCATAAAATCGCCTTGCCCTCTTGTAAGCTTCCTTAGGTCCGATTTCATGAGCTAGATGGGTTCTTATATAGCGTGGCTTAATTAGGGTTACACCATGCAAACCCTAATGTGCATGACCTTCCATATTCCTCATGCTCCATGGGTTTAAACTTCCATGGGTCACCACATGGGTTTAGCCCAACACAAAGAACTATGTATCATAAGCCCACATTATAAGAATGAATGATTTACACAATCAATCCCCATATATTTAATTAGTCTCTTTTGATCACAAAATTAATTCCAAATTAATTCTTGATCAATACTAATTAAATAATATGATTTCATATTAATATATTAGAACTTATAATATATTAATAAACCATAAATAACCTCTTCTCAATTATCCATCCTTCAGATTGTTCCGGTGCCATGCAACCCAAATGGACCATGCTACTCTCGGGTCAAGTACATACCAATTATAATTATGGACTTAGACACTAATCCAACAACTCCTATGTACGCCCAACGTACTAGGCTTAGCCTTAAACCAACCAAACTTCCGGAAGACATAACTTTTTTGTTCTAAGTCTGATTTTGACGATCCTTATATCCACGGAAAGGTAACGAGAAGCTCTACATTTCTATCAACTCTCCCTTGCCTTAAAACTTTTCGAACTTAAACCAAAAATTCATAAAGATCCGAACTGATACTTTACCAATATACCATTGGGCTCCAAAACAAAAACCGAACTCCCGAGTCGTCCAATCTACATTTTCCACACTCAAAGGGGGTGTCTAATTCTCTCTTTCCCAAACGCACCAAGCCTTATGATAACCGATCTTTGGGTCATGCCCCGAATTAGGAACGATTCAGAATAGGGTGTTACAAGATTGTTACAAGATTTCAATAACACATCATTTCTATAAGGCATAATTTCAATAAGTCTTCCGATTTTAAGTCATGATTTTGGCATAGTAACACAAGATTTTAGTAACCTGTAAGGCAGCAACAAACGATTTCAAAAGGTCAAAATTTCATTAACTAGATTTCAATAATGCACGATTGGAGCAGAGAAGATGATATTAATCGATTATAACATAATTTTATAAAACAAACTTGATTGTAGAATGTCGATTGCAGAAAACCCTTCTACGGAACGAGATTGACTGAATCATTTTCTTCTTGTTCTTGGTTGTCGACTGTGACTGTAATAATAATTTCACATATTTATTTGTATTGGAAGTCGATTGAAATTTAACCATTAGGAACTCGGAAGTGAAAGTGGAATGATCGAACTCTTCGAGTCATGTACAAAATGTTTAACTTATAAATAATAAATATATATTTTTAAAATTTAGACCGGACGGGTCATAAATGGATCGGATAGATAGTGATCCATACCCGACTCTTCTAATAAAAGGGTTAATGGATAAACGAATAATTAAATATGATTCGAACCCATTAATTTCACATGGGTTTGGAGCGGATCACGGTCAAAACCCGCTCCATTGCATGGTTTATTTATATGGGATCGTTCTAAATTGGCAAACAGAGAATTGAATGAAATGATTATTGTATGGTTGTGGATTGGTATGTGAATCCCAACTAACAAGAAACTTTTGATAACCAATATTTATGTACAATTGATGGGAGGAAAATGTTAGCTTTGGTTACAATTCTTGGCATTTATTAATAGATATGACGATGAAGCAATTATTATGGGTGATTTTAATGTGGTGGAAGAGCCCGGTTTGATTTTTAACTAACCTTTTGGAGACCAGTTTAATGATTTCATTAGGAATGCACAGCTAGTTGATATTTCTCTTGGTGGTTATAATTTCACATACACTGATCTGAAAGCTTAAAAATGATCAAGTTGTTCGCCTTTTTTCTTGATTCCGAAAGGCACTTTAGACCGGTTTCCAAATCTTGCGGGTATGCTTTTATATGGTAATTTGTCCAATCATAGACCCATTTCTTCTTATGGAGATGCTTAATAATAACGGTCCATCTCGGTTCTTATTTTTTTAATTCTAGCTAGGAATCATATTGACGTTTTTGATGATGTTAGCAAAGAAACTTGTTGTGATTAAGGAATTTGGGCGGGTAATCCTTTAGTCTTGCTAAAAAAGAAACTTTAACTTCTTAAGAGTAATATTTCTGAATGGATTAGGATCGAAGGTTTGCTCTAAATAAAACCAAAAAGTTGCTCCAAAATGAATTAAATGACTGTGATGGCTAGATTGATTGGGCTACGAATACCTCGACTGATGTGGATGAACGCCTTCAGTGAATTAAAGAGTTAGATAATATTGATCAGGTTGAAGGTTCGGACTTACCTCAAAAGGTTAAAGTTTCTTGGGGTGAAAGGAGATGAAAATTCAAAATTCTTTCATGGGATATTGAATAAAAAAAAAGTTGCTCTAAGAGATCTCATATATCGTTGCCGTCGAGTGATCAAATATAAGTTACATGTTTTTTTTTTGGGTGATAAAATATAAGTGATGTATGTTACATGTTTTTTTTTTGGGTGATAAAATATAAGTGATGTATCAGAACACGAAACATATTTAATAAATATCTTACATTTTTGAAAACTATTTATTTAAAATAAAATAAAACATGATGCACGAAACAACCAACCAACTGCCTTGGAAAAAGTCAAAAGATTGTGTTCAGACACAAGACAAACTGACACAATGAGTTGGAAGTAACATCCAAGGCTCAAAGCATCTTCCCAGTCATTACCTAATAACCTCCACACCCCTCCTTCCCACCTGAATAATAACGTGTCCCCTCTCTCTATATATACCACCCTTCTTCTTCTCCTTCCCACCATATTACATGCATCTCTCTCAAAATCAAACAAGTTTAACAAAAATAAACTGTTAACTAGTCACTCTACAAACTACCTAGTTGTGAGTCTATATATTGAGGCGTAAATGGATAAACTTGGAAAGTGTTCAGCAAACTATGTCCCTCTCACTCCTCTCACTTTTATCAAGAGAGCATCCATGGTTTATTCTCATCGTACCTCCATCATATACGGTGGAGTCCGCTTCACTTGGCAACAAACTTATGAGCGATGCTGCCGTCTCGCTTACTCCCTCCGCTCACTTAATGTTGTGAAGAATGATGTCGTAAGTTTCTCACTTTTAATCTACGACATGTGTTCATTCATGGATTGCAGACACCATTCTACTAAAAAACAGAATATTTTTATTAGTACGAGGTTCTTTCCTTTAATTATGTGCTTGATCGATTTTCTAGGTATCTGTGCTGGCACCAAACGTACCTGCGTTATATGAGATGCATTTCGCAGTTCCAATGGCAGGAGCTGTACTTAACGCAATTAACACAAGACTGGATGCTAAAAACATTGCCACTATTCTCCGTCATTCAGAAGCCAAGGTTTTCTTTGTTGACTATGAGTACGTTCCCTTAGCATCCGAGGCTCTACGGCTGCTGGTGGCGGGTTTTAAGACGGGTTCTTCAGCCGAGGACGCTATGCCTTTGGTCATTGTAATTGATGACATTAACAAGCCCACTGGGGTTCGTCTTGGAAATTTGGAGTATCAGCAACTTATCCACCACGGAAATCCCCAGTACCCAGGTGAAGAACTTCAGGACGAGTGGGATGCGATTTCACTGAATTATACATCCGGAACCACCTCTGAGCCGAAGGGGGTGGTCTATAGCCACCGTGGTGCGTTTCTTAGCACGATGAGCTTGATTCAAGGGTGGGAAATGAGTACGGAGGCTGTGTACCTTTGGTCACTACCGATGTTCCACTGCAACGGCTGGACCTTTACCTGGGGTGTTGCAGCTAGAGGTGGCACCAATGTGTGCATAAGGAACACCACCGCTGATGAAATGTACAAAAGTATTTCGACCCACAACGTAACTCACATGTGTTGTGCCCCTGTTGTTTTCAACATCCTTTTAGAGGCCAAACCTCATGAACGTTGTCCAATAACCTCTAAGGTCAACATACTTACTGGAGGTGCGCCTCCACCTGCTGCCCTCTTGGAGAAGATGGAGGACCTTGGGTTCCACATAATGCATGCCTATGGCCTCACTGAGGCCACCGGACCTGCCCTTGTGTGCGAGTGGCAATCGAAATGGAATCAGCTACCTAGAGATCATCAGGCCAAATTGAAGGCTCGTCAAGGTGTAAGTATACTCACACTCGCTGATGTTGATGTAAAGACAAAGAAAACAATGGAGAGTGTTCCGCATGATGGGAAGACTATAGGAGAGATCGTACTCCGAGGAAGTAGCATCATGAAAGGGTACTTAAAAGATGAGAAGGAGACTGCGAAGGCGTTTCAGAAAGGGTGGTTTTTAACCGGAGATGTTGGAGTTATCCATCCCGACGGATACCTTGAAATTAAAGACAGGTCAAAAGACGTGATAATCTCAGGCGGGGAAAATATTAGTAGTGTAGAACTAGAGTCCATTCTATTCAAACACCCGGCAATTCTCGAAGCAGCAGTGGTGGCGATGCCTCATCCAAGGTGGGGAGAGAGTCCGTGTGCTTTTGTTGTTTTGAAAAAGACAGGAAGCACGACCGAAACTGAAATCTTGGCGTATTGCCGGAAAAATATGTCAAAATTTATGGTTCCGAAGAAGGTGGAGTTTGTGGAAGTGCTACCAAAAACAGGAACTGGTAAGGTCCTAAAAATGGAGCTAAGAGAAGTTGCAAAAACCCTCAACACCAACAACAACAGAAACAACAAGAGATCTGATAAACAAGTTCATTTGCATCAAACATGGTACCATCATGATACACCTCCTAATCAGGAAAACGTTCTTGCAATGTCTCGGCTTTGAATTAAATTTTAAATAATTTCTTGTCATTTTCAAATAGAAATATTCGTGAAGAATTATTTGATCTACCATGTATCACATGTATGTAATTATGTATAGTTTAAGTGCTCAAAACATTTGTCACATGTTTTGATTCATAGAATTTCAATTTTGTAATTGAAAATATAGATGAAACGTCAACGAGATACTTCCCGTTAAAAATAACGAAGGTAGTTTATTACAAATGAATTATATTTAATTTACAAAGTACCAAAGATGGTATCGATAGATCATGATTTAACAAATGGGATTTTTTTTTTCTCGTCCTTAGTTTTAATCATTGCGGTCACTAAAAACAAGTATTTTCGTGAAAGCCCCTAACTCATACATGCGACTATGTATAGTTACTGACGTTTTCAAGATTTAATATGCATGATCAAAATTGCAAAACTAATCAGATATGTCGTTTAAACCCTTTTTTAATCTTTATGACGGGAGACTAGTAATTTATGTATATTTATAATTCCGATCACATGAGGTTTATAATTAGTAGATTACGTCCTACCTAAAAGTGTTTTTAGTACATTTGTTTTCAAAATAACTTTGTATGTCGTTTAAACCTTTTTTCGGCTTCTATGATGGGGGCCTTAGTACGAGGTCCATCGTTAGTAAATTACGGTACTACCTAACAATGCTTTTAGTACATTTGATTTATAAATAACTTTTATTATTATGTTTGTGCTTCCTTGATTGTTGTTGACATGGGAAAATTAATAAGAACTAGGGAAACTTCCCCGTATGAGGTTGGAAGGTATTTATTTATAAACGTTATATAATTAATATTCCACGTACACGCAAGAATTATATCACCAAATCGAAAATGGTATATAACTAATATTTACATAAATATTTTACATGGTAATCATTAACATGCGATGAAGCCTTATTTGTTATCTTCTTGCCACAAGTAGATTGATGAAATACCACCTTCGTCGTACCCAACAATGGATTACACACAAATATGTAAAGTTTGGTAAAAGGAATAAACAATGACTTGAGGAATTTGATTTCTTTTGATGGATTACAAATTACCTCCACAATTAAATTCATTAAAAGTTCGATATACACATTCACGGATTTGAAAAGTAAACTAAAGTCTTTTCCCAAAAGGAAGTAATAATGTTAGTACGGTGTCAACTAACTACAAAGACTCCAAAGATCAAAATATCAATCGTGGTGGTGACATCATGATTGTTTTTTTAAATATCTTGTTAGTTTCTCTAGTGCTTGATAAAAAAAACGAATCATTCAATAATGTCGCATGTTGTTTTTCCCAAAACTATACTACTACATTTTATGGGTTTGGGCACTCAGAAGCCGGAAACGAACAGTGCCACATACAATATTTTAAGTAGTTGAAGGTCTCCATCGTGTGACTATTCGGAACTTTATTGCCACACCTTCTAAAAACTTAGTAGCTGAACTGAACTAAAGATTTTGGCAGAACGTTCAACCACTTATTAATTGGGAGGTGTGATTATAGAAGATTGAGTTCGACATATTAGTTATTATATAAATAAAAAAGTGACAAATATACCGGAGTAAACCAAAAGTGACCAAAAAAGTGTCCAAATGTCATCAATCGTCACATGATGTAAATGTTTATGTCGCTAACTCATAAGCTGGAGTTTCTCTCACATGATTTCAGTGTAGCAAAAAATCGGTACATATGGTCTCATAATTATAAGTGTGACTAAAGTTGAACGTGTTTTATAGATTGCATAACGTTTATGTGTATAGTCACTTGTTATTTCAAAGTGGTTGTATGGATTTCGAATAGCCACACCATATCACAAATGTGTACGTATCGAATGATTTTGATTAGTCACATGGCGAAATATTCATGTAGCTATTATTTAGAGCAAAAATGATGAAAAAGTGTTAATCATTAAGTTTGATATTAATCACGTTGAGTATTATTGTTTGTAAATCAAGAGACAATATATTTATAACTTTTTATATGTATAGTCACATGTTATTTCAAAGTGACTGTATTGATTTCGAATAGCCACACCATATTACAAATAGTTTCCAAATGATTTTTATTAGTCACGTCACGAAATATTCATGTAGCTATTATTTAGATCAAAAATGGGCAAAAGCGATTAATCATTACGTTTGATATTAGTCACATTGAGTGTTATTGTTTGTAAATCATGAGACAATATATTTGTAACTGTTTATATTTGTAAATCATAAACTCTGGTTTGTAACACATGAGGTAAGTGTATCAAAATAAATTTGGTATTGCTATTTAAACTTAATTGATACATTATCCTAATAATTTAACATTATCTACATATAAGTTCCATAAAAAGCTAATGTTTGTTATTATTATTAAATCATTTATGCTTTCTGGTCTAATATATTTCCGTCATAGTAATTTGTTTTACTTAGATACAATATTAATTGACCACTTTTTAAATGGTACATGTCACAAGTCTATCATGTAATAACATTCTACTCTAAACAAATGGTCCATGAGTAAAAACAACAAATTATAAATGGTGTTTGTGTAAAGCCAACAATCGAATAGCCACACCATATCACAAATGGTCAATGACTAAAAACATCAATCGAATAGCCACACCATATCACAAATGTGTATCCATATTTGAATAACATTAAAGAAGAAGGATTTAATTTGTAATTATATGCAGTGAACTTTCACAAAAATGGTGTGGTCAAACGCTTGTTATTAAATGGTAATGTAAAAACGATGTTACGACATAGAATGTAATTATATATGTGGTAATTTGCAAGGGTAATGTATTACAATAATTGGCAATGTTCTGTAAAGTATGGAAGACATACAAAGTTATAAATTATCAATCTATACAGTTGTTGAAACTTATGCATCAATAATAAGTAACCAAAAATGGATCACTTGGATTTTTAATTTGACACAATAGTTATGGTGAATCACTTTGATGATTTTATAATGATGTAAAATATTTGTAAAATGGATACTAGGTCAAAGAAAGAGGGTATGACGGAACCTTTGACAACCTTCGATAATGGCGTAATATTTATAGAATGGATACTATCAATCTGATGTATCAGTTTCAATAAGTATTGAAAATTATACAATACAAAACTAAAGATTCTAATATCTAGTCTTTGACATTAATACTAAAATTAAATGTTTATGTGGTCAATACATTGCACAAACTATAAACATGTATTAATTAACTATATAGAAAATGTGATGTACATACTATACATACCTTCATCACACCTAAGAGGCCCTCGTGATATGCGGAACATCCCAAGCAAATAAATTGCCTCAAGATGATCCTTATCTCCTGCATTACCCAGCAAACTCATTCCCAAATCAAAATTTCCCTTACAGAAGCACTCCTCCTGTTAACTGAAAAAAATAACACTAATATTAAGACAAATGACACTAAATATAAGTTAAATAAAATTACATAAAATTACTTAAATTACACATGCAACTCCTTGTCTATACATAACATCAATGTTTTTATGCGTTGCATATTTGTGTATAAATACATCAGTCTTTAGATCTTTAGGACCCATCCCTTCAAGCATGTGGAAGGATGCTTTTTTGAACACTTCACTTTCTTCCCCCGCTGCATACATCTTTTTCGAACTTTAGAAATTGAAATATACAGTTAATAAGTAATCAATGAAGTTATATTTCATCCAATATACATTCATAAGTTAATTTTATTGAGAATTACCAAATTATTGTAGATATGATGTCTTTTGCAGACTCTGATACCACTTGTAGGTTCTTTTGATCGGATACAAACAAGATATAATGAAGAACAAAAGAACTAGAATATTATCACAAAGATGGTTTTCTTTAAGAAAAGTTTTCACCAAGAGAACGAATGCACAAAGTAGTTGGCACAAAGCCATCACAAAATAAATCATTAGGGTTTTAACCTAATACTTGATTATATACTAATATATTCTATAGAATCCCTTCAATCAGGGGATTAATTCTAATATATTCTAAATATGCAAATTGATCCTTATCACCAAGATATCAGATGATTTATCTAAAATACAGTATAATAGTATAATTACATACAACAGAAATACAACTATACAAATCGTAACACGTAGATGCTGCTATTTCAAGCCTTGTATTGATGATGTCATTGGTGCTTGTGTTGGTGGTCAGCGTGTGAGAGTATTTTGACTCATCAGACCATAAGACTTAACCTTACGAATTTAGAGGAAGTTTTTTTTGAAAGATTTGAAAGGAAATCAAAGTTAAATAATCAACAAAAACAAAAGGAAAAATTAATGAAAGAAAAGAAAAAGGCAATGAATGCAAGATACAAAAAAAAATTGAGTGAAAGAAAGGTGTTCTGGAAATAAAAAGAAAAATCATCGTATTCTTTTTATAATCAAAAGAATGATGCGTCCTGTTGTTTATCCTAAAAGAAAGATCAAAAAGAATTTTTGAAAAGAGTCAATCCAAAAACAAACACATATCTTCAAAAGAAAACTACATTCGTTGAATAAATACTTGTGGCACTAAAAATCAAGTTTTTAAAAAAATATTTAATGAGAATAAAGTATTGACTATGAAATTCATTTGGATTGATAAGTCTATCATCTTTCATGTTTCTATCTCAATATCAAAAATCTCACAAACGCCCAAGCTCGTTTGGGTTCCTAAACTTGTGTAATTTTGCAGGTGATGCATGACGAGCAGTATGATTCAGAAAAGTATATAGATAGTGGCTGCTCGCGTTAAATAATAGGAAGGAAATCGCAATTGAAGGAATTTCGGAGTTTGAAGGATGTTGGAAGAGTACAATATGGAAATATTGCCATGGGTGAATTCAAAGGATATGGCATAATAACCAATGGAAAATTTACAATTCGCAAGGTAGCATATGTGGAAGGATTAAAACACAACTTAATAAGCGTTTCTCCACTTGTTGTAGGTTCTGGTATGAAAGTTTCGTTTGATGAAGAAG